TAAATGGGGAACAGTAACCAAGAAAAAGGGTAACTTCTCTCTCTCACTATTACTGTTACTTTGCAAAAGTCACTACCCCTAGCTGACTCAGGCATCGGAGAGCCTTCGGCCGGCACCACACCGGTGTCCGAAGCTTAACGACTGCTTCTCCTATCTTTGTCTTCTGCAGGTTAGCCCTCTACTGAAGGCCCAGACCCTTCTCTTGCCAAAGACAATCCCTTATCTCTAAGTTGACCCTCTCCGAAAAAGAGCATCAACACCTATTTTACTCTCTTTTTTTGTGCTGTTTGCAAAAGTAAAATATGTAAAGCCCACGTCATGTGTACAAGCTCTAACTTTCCCAGTCAAGGACTCCTAATAAAGTTTTAACTTTGCCTAGCATGGATTAGAATTCGAAAAAGTCAGCTTTACTCTTTAAGTGGCAAACTACTGCACATATCACAAACTTTAGTGTAATTAAAGATAGAAACTCATGTCAAGACTGCTCCAAAAAAACACTCATAACATGTTGATGCAGTAGCTATAGCTCTGTTATTACTTTTTCATTCTATTCAGCTTGGTTATATAACATGTTGATGCAGAGCTTAGAACCCTAACTCTACTTTACTGCTTAGTCTAGCCTCAGAATCCTAAGTTCAGTAAGCAGTGGCATAGCAACTCATAGGTCTGGTAGCCACTCAGAATCCTAAGTTCAGTAACCATATATATAGTAATAGATATTAGTAGACAAGTTGTAATTGTAGTTAATGGCCCCTCTCCAACATAAACAAGTAAAAACAATTTAGCTCTACCATGTAACTTCTGAATATTAATATATGTTGTATACTTTATTTAATATTCAGCTCCCCAACCTTACAATTCTAGGTTTGCCCCTGTCAGTATGAAAATTGGTGGTGAAACTCATGGACATGCATCACCTACTATTTTAAATTTAAAACTCTTCGGTGCCGTGAGTTTCTTCTTCATCTCCTATTCTTTTTTATTTTCTTAGACGTTACTTCCTGCAAGGCAATAGTAAATCGGAAACAAAGCCAAACCAGTAGTTCTTGGTTTTCCTCATCTTTGAACCATGCTTCTTTCAGCCCCAAGTTTTCACCGGTCACCACGATAAAGATAAACTTCACTCTAGAAAATCCTTCACCTTACATCCAGATTTAGTCAAGAACCTACCCTACATTCCTACATGTCTACATCAACAATACATGAAAAATACAAAACATAATGTGCTGAGTCAGAACAATCCTGCATCTATCAGAAAACCACAGATCAAGAATGTCTTTCATTTGCATCAACTATGTCCTTTTTCTCATTGAAAGTCTACCATGGTACACAAGCAGTTAACCGTTCACAGATTGTCTGACATTAGCTAAGTTAAAACAATCGTGTAGCATGAGCAAGTAACTCAAACCTCATTAATCTTTGAAGATATCAGCATCAACTGTAGACATGTCGACATAACCTTTTACGGCACAAATCTGCTCAAGAATGCCATCTTTGCCAAAAACCACCTAGGTATTTTGCATTTCAATAAGCAGAAGTCAAGTAAATGACGTGTCAAAATACCAAAGTGAAAACACCAACCGAAAGAGCAGCAGAAGGATCAGATAACATTGCAATTGTATACTTGCACTTCTTACCAACTGCTGCAGGGGTTTCTGCAACAGAAGCACCATGCTCCACCACGAGCTCATGACACTGCAATTGAAGTTTTGAAGTCACAACATACGGTAGAGGTTTAGCCTAAGCTCAAGCTCAACTACAGACCATGTGGAGATTAGCTTTCCAAGGAATGAAATTATCAGAAATATAAATGACAACTAAAATTTGAATTAGGTTAACTAGCAGGTTGGTTCTTGGAACCCAAAAGCAATGTGGAAATGTGTTGTTTATTCTAATTTGAAAAGCTTCTAACTTTAATAAAAATGTTAATTTCTCAAATAATAATGGATTTCTCCTTACGTCCCAGTTTTCAGCTTCCCACTCAAATTTATGTGTGCGTTCTACAATGATTTAACTCACTGATTTGGTGCAAAAATAATAAGTGTGTATATGCAACCCACATAAGACATTAACACAACTGGTACCCTAATTTTATGCAGACCACCTTATCTACAACTTCTTAAAAAGTTGCAAGCAAAAAAATGTAGGCAATAACTATTATTATTACGACCAAAAAAATGTGAAGTCTAAAGCAAGAAAACAAGATTATTACAAGGTCCAATAAATTATCAGGTAATTAGCTTAAATTACGGTGTCGCAAAGAAAAAGATTTGAGTAACTAACCAACCCGTTGGAATTTGTCGTCGTGAAAGGAGGTCAAAGTAGCTAACTAAGCCGTCGGAATTTGTTGCATGATGAGTTACCAATTAGTCTAGCAAGCCGACCGGTCAAAGAGAGAGAGGGGGAGATTTCTTAGGTGCTTTAGAACAAAAATGAATTTCAAGCAAGGATCGGTCAATTCCAAATTTGGTTGAAAGTAGAGCCACAAAAGGTAAACAAGCAACCACTTCGTAGGAAACAATTTGTTAAATATCCGAATGATTTGGAAGTTATTCATAAACAGCACTTAGAAAGAGCTTTTGTGACCCATAATTATTTATAAGTTTTTTCCGCCAAAAGTTATCATAAGCGAATTCGATGGTCAAAAAGCGCTTACAAGCTCAAAGTATAAAAACCGAATAAAAATAACAAACCCTAGATTATTCAGATCGAACTGTAAATATTATGTCAGAGAGTTCGCGAATAAGCAGCAAATCTATAATCAGTATTAGTACTAAATGAATAAATAATAGGACTCAAGTTGTGCTCATTGGTCCAATAAGATATAGGAGTTACAAAACTGGGATGTTACACGTAACACTCAACCAACTCTTCCAGAAGCATTATAGCATCTCTAGTGTGGTTTAGGAACATAGCCATCAACAGCAAAGTTTCGGGTGGCAGCTGGAATAGCTAAACGAATTCCATCAAGTTCAGGTTTTGCAATCACTTGACAACCCAAGCGAGAGCTACAATGTCACAAGCATAAATTTCAGTATGAACAAATTGCAAGAAAAATTCCACACGAAAATTTGTTAACATACCTTTCCGTAAGCCCAAAGGCCAAGTCCAACATATCATTTTCCTCATCAGTTGGGTCTTCTAATTTGTTGTAATAGTCCATATCCTGCAGGATTATTCTACAATCAGCTCCTCATACTTCAGTTCTATTAAAACCAAATTTAAGTTCAAAAAACACATTTCTTTGAAACGTAAACAACATACCATCACAATCACATGACATGTTGAACAGGCAATTGAACCTTCACATGCTCCTGATATGAGAGAAGCAACAGAGCATCAGATTCTGCAAAAATGATTAAAAAACCATTTGACATAGCAGTGACTATCTCTTGTGGTTCCAAACAACTAAGTCTGATCCATTTATAGAAATAAGCACGCAACAATACAGGTGAGAGGGAGGGAAGGTCACCCAATGTACAGTCCAAAGCAACTAATAAGTATTTGCCAATCTAATTGACAAATGCCTATGATAGCAATTGTCCAAAGGACAAAAGCAATTGATGGAACATATTTGGGTTTAAGATGAAAAAGACTATTAAATAAGCACCAGAACCTTGCCTTCAAGATCTATATCATTTTCATGGGCAGCTTCTAGCATAGACATTCCAGTAGGAACCTTAATATGTATCTCATCTCCATCCTTATCAACAAATGTCACAGATATCCTGCAAATAAATCATCTCTGTGAAGAAACAACATAATAATGTCAACTCAAAGGAGAATTAGGGCCATGAGGTGCTCCTAATTGACATACGGAAAAACATTGCTAAAGATAAATCAATTTGCAATTAATTTTGCACAAATAAATACAGAAATATATGTTCAATCCGTGCATATGCATTTGACCGCTTTCTCTCATTGTTACTCTGAATCAATCTCCTAACATTATTAATGATTAGCGTTAAACCATTTAAACCCAAAATAACTTACTTTTCTTTCTGCTCAATCCCTTCATTTGAAGAATCGCTGGCACTAACGGTAGAAAAAAGATGATGCTTGTGAAATATGACTCCCCGCAACAACTTAGTTTCAGACTGTTGATTAAACATTTTATAAGACAAAGAAACCATAAATATAAGAACAAAAACATGAATGCACCTATGCAAGCTCAATCTACTAAAATACATAAATGTAAAAACTACTTGACACTTCACATTAATCATCCTTCAACCCACGTATCACAATTCAAATATGATTTCAGTTCCCAACTTCTTTATAAAATACCTAAAATAATACCAAAAAAAATAAAAATGGCATATATATGCCTTCATTTAGATTTTAAAATGGTTTTTGCAATTCTCAAATTGCTTGCCAAAAGCATATCATTAAACCGACTTTGTTTTATTTCCATTGTTCTTAAATGCGGACCTAAGTTTAGCAACATAATGAAACATGACTAATTCACTCAAAATGATAAAGACCAGTTTTTACAAATAAAACTTAACTTGGAATGAATACAGTCCATTTACCTTCAAAATTTGCAAGGCACTGTACAATGTCCTAGGTCTGCAAGAGTATCTCATTCTATACCATATACCATATAAAACAAATAACGCACAGTACGTGACATTTAGAGGAAAAGAATGACAAGAGACAGTAGTTAATATCCCTTGGGCTTCTCAAATGTCAAATGTAAGAGAACAAGTAATGGTTTCTAACATAGCAACACCAAGAAATGAAGGAAGAAAGCATATATGGTTCAGGCTCTCTTTTCCTATCCTATAATTCTCCAAGAAGTAAACTTTGCCGACAGCCACCCATTATTCGAAGACAGAAGTGGTCACTAAAAAACAACAACAAGATCCATAATAATTCAATTTGTGGGATTCCATTAAATGGTTTTGTTTAATTGTTTTGTTTCTTCAACCCTTCATGATGTACTGATTGACAGACCTAAAACTTAAGCATCTAGGATGAATACAAGAAACAAAAGGTTACACCAAATAGCAAATTCTATGAGAGGAGGAAACTGACCAGAGGTTGCAAGTATTGGTTGTAACAACTACTCGTATTATATCCTGCTCTGGTTATGGATGTGAGTTTGTCTGCAGTTTACGAAAGAAGGATAAAATTGGAACCAACCATATGAGAATGACAAGTAGAAAAAAAAATACTTGAGAAAAAAAGGGATTTCTTTTACCATGTTGAACTTCCAACAGACAGAACATTAGCTAAATAAACAATTGTAAATTTCAGTGCATACCTCCGGAGAGCTGTTTGAGTATCAAAACTCCGATTCTTGAAACTTTAGAAGCAAACATAATCAATCGTCGAACCTCCTCTCTTACTATACCCAAAACTTCAAACAGAACAACTGCAAACACAAAAACAACTCTCTTTTAATTCTTTTTTTGTTTATCTCAAATGGAAAAGAAGAAGAAAATGAAAAGAGAACTGGTGGGCTCTAGAAACAAACAAGCATAGCAATTGGGCAATTCTTCAAAGTTAAAAATGACTGGGCCAAAGAAGATTTTATTGGCCAAGAAAGATGTTAGAAAAGAATAGGCCTCAAAAGTGAAAGTGAAGTTCCTACTTGCCAAGCTCAAACCTCCATTTCTCATGAACCAAACACTTTAAAGTTATATAATGATCTAATTATCTAAAACATAAAATAATATGCAGTCATTTTCTGATTCCCGTGAACTCATAAGGGTCCTATATTTTTAGTTTCCTCCAATATTTTATGAATAAAAAAAAGATCAAAAGGCAAGATGAAAAAGTAGTGTTTCTGTGAATGGATTGTTACGAATTAGACACAACGCCCTTTTTTATCTCACGTTAAAATGCAATTCATGTTAGTCTTTCATTGTTAGGAAAAGAATTGAAATGACAAAATATTCATGTCCCATGGTATAAAATAACTGTAATTGTTATCTCGGAGAAAAATATTTGAGAACATAAATTGTTTGTTTTGCTTAATTCATGATGAAAATTAGAATTATATGAGGACTTACAAATCCCCTTTTGTATCCTATTTCTCCTAGTTGATAATTGACTTTGATATTACTTTACTTTACAAATCTCCTTATGCGTGTATTATGATTTTGCATGCATAAAACGGGTTGCCGAAATCTGGCTCACGCGCCGCCACTCGCGGCCGACAACGGCGGTGGTTCAAGGCAGTTTCCCTCGACGGAGAAAAACTCTAAAACTACGTGCAATAACTATACCAACAGTTCAAGCACAAAGGGGAACATGTCTTGCTCTCGGACCTCGGCCAAAAACTGGCCGGAACTAGGTGAATTCACGGCCAAACCGTGGGGGTAGTGGCCGGAGCTTTTCAAGCTCAGGCCGGTGGTTACAGCCACCAATGTTGCCGCTTAACCTAGGGGAAAGAAAGAGGGAGAGGAGAGCTACCTTTTCCAAGTGGTGGCACGGCCTGGAGTGGCAAGAAACGTTGCCGGCGACGTCGAAGTTTCTGCCGAAACTTCCAGTCGAAACAGCCGGTTAACCTTGGGTTTTCGAGCTAGGAAAAGGACTGGGCTATGAAAAGGAGGAGGAGACGATTCTTTTGGGACCGGTGCCGTGGCCTGAGGTAGCCAGACGGCGAAAAATCAAAGGCCAGAAGTGCCGGCGTCGCTGGAAGGGAGAGAGAGAAGCGAGCGACGGTGCGCGAGGAAACAAACTATAGCACTCTTTTTGGGGTTTTCTAACAATTTTAAAATTCCCTATGTGTCCTTTTCGTTTTCAGATCTTTTTGCAATCGTTATGACTCAGAATTGAGCGTGCCGCGAGCTTACAGACTCGTATTAACAAGCTCTACGCAATGGTGCCACTGAATTCCCCCAAATTCCTTTCGAAACAAAAAATAACTAAAATATCCCTACTCTCAAGGGCAAAATTGTAAAATTTACAAAAAGTAATTAAAGTAATTAAATAATTATTTTGGCCCCAAACCAAAAGGGTCATCTTGGCCCACATCCTCCATCCGGGGCCCACATTCATTTGTTACAGGCCCAAAGGAGTTAGAGCACAGAGTAAAACCTTCTTCATGTGACTGCTGTATTGGTTTTAATGCCACGGCAGCTCCCCTCCTTGAATTGTCCTCATACGGAATGGTGGCCCTTGATATAAGACGACAGTTTTAGAACACACAAGACAACAGTGTAAAAGTGGTTAATTCTGACAATATAGGTGTGTAAGAATGTGATTCCATTAAAGACGTCATGTCCTTTTTATAAATCAAACCAATCGTTGCTTTCCCTATAACAAATTATAATAATTAAGAAAACTAATTCAAAATCAAGACTCCACTCCATTGTAATGTCACGTAGATTAAGTGGCAACATATAAGCAATAAAGTGGCAATAGACAAGCAATATTAAAGTAATGAAAATACAATAAACAAATACCTCATGGATGTACCTTTGTACTATGTTTTCCCGATTATACAATGTTCTAATTGTTGAACTATTACAATATTTAGTTGCTACAGATAATAAATAGTACATAAAAAATTAATATCCATGTTTGAAAATTTCATCTCATTATAATAATGACCTAAAAAAATAATATCAAGTATAATACACAAATATTATAAACATACGGCTCCACAAGAAGAATACACAATGTCTTAGATGTTCTTATACTAATTCTTGGGATCTAATAATAACAAGCATAGTCAATAATGCGTACAATATGCTGCAAGTTTTCTTAGCATTTTCATAATAGAAGCTTTGCTTTTGACTTCAAAAGGCAGCTCAAACAACTCCTTGGCTACACTCATTACATTATGCACAAAATGGTCTCCAACGCCAGTGCATGACTTGCACATCACTGCCTGCACAAACCAGCTAAATCACATTATGTAACTATTAACCTTAGATTTGTTCTTGACAAGTAAATGGGTTGGATGCGGCTTTTCTTTTCCTTGTGCAATCTGAAAAGAAAAAGAGAGAGAGAGAGAGAGAAATTGTCAAGACAAAATTACAGCAAATTAAAATTTAAAGTACTCACCATCCGGAAACAATTTGCTTTCAAATTTCAATGAATAAATTACATCACAATTTCAACCAACACTACTGCACAACTCATCTCATAAACATGATTGAGATATGTCACATCTTTACTGGCAAAGCTTACAACGCTGTTTACATTAATTTCCTACTACAAACCAAAATTTGTATCAGATATAGTTATATATCATGTATAACTTCACTAAACAGGTAAAAAGAAACACAAAATCTAGACAAGTAGGCTGCGTGGTGCTTAATCATTTCTCATGTTCAGAACATGCACGCAAAGAAAGAAGAAAATTACGCTATATAGATTTTTGTTTGATATCAAAATCTCTTCAAACTCATTTTTTCTTCTATCAAAGCTAAATAAAAAATAAATAAAAATCAGTGAAATGCCACATATTGTTAGGTTATTCATCACCCCTTTTCAGAACATACCAGAGATTTCTTAACTAGCTAAGCAGAGACATCAACAAGACTCAAAAGTCATAACTCAGTACTGCTACCAAAATACAACTTGCCGTCTACGACAAAAAAAGTGCCATGAACCACTATTCTCCAGTTATAGAGTAGTGCCACTCATAACTCTCAAAAATCAATTTAACTTGACACATAGGAATACCTCTGAAAACACTTAATTCTTCATGTATGCCCTGAATATAATAAAGCACAACCTTTAGAAGTTTCGAACAGCTCAATTCAGCATCCTATTCATTACTATCACTTGGTGCACTTACTACAAGACCACTTAGAAGTTTAGAACTCAGTGGCTTGCAAAATCAAGAAAACTAGAGGATATCCATTCAGATACGACCTCCCAAAATGACAAGGTTAAAGCACTAAAAGGGTTCTCTTTCAAGGAGAGGAAAATGAAAAGTTGTATCCACCAATCCCATACATGGTTTTACCTGTAGAAAACAAAAAACAAATGAAGGAAATTTTATAAATCAAATGTTTACACCAGAGAGAGAGAGAGATCATGCAGAACAAATATCATATATTTATCATACCAAAGTGTGCTTCCAAGAAGAATTTGATGTCAGCTTCTTTCTGTCCATTCACATGCTGGTCCTGCTGCAGCAAGAAGAATGTGATCACAATGTTAACTTGAATATTGTGGCTCATGCATCTACCATTCATTCACAATCTGTAGGAAACCAAAGTGCACAAATTAGACCTAAAAATTTGGCATGAAGTGGAGCAGGGCAAGGTCACTAAACCCTTCTCTGCCTTTTCAATGTCATGTATCTTAAAAACGTGCATTTTGATAATTAATGCCTAGTGTAATTCAAGGAACTGAGACCAGTTTGAAAATCAAAGGGAACTGTACTACAGTACTATTAGCTGCTATATTTTTTCTCATCAGAACAATACTAAAATTAAAATTAAAAAAATCACTGCTCTTATCATCGCCCTCGAGGGCCTTGCCATCTGTTGGTACTAAGCAATGGAAGGCATCATTTATCTATCAACAAATCAGTACAATTAAGAATCATACAAGTTTACCATCAGCTGGTATGCTGTCTTATTTAATTGGACAATTTTTATGAGTAGAAATATTGAAAGCAAGTGTTCATTTGTAATTTCCCTCTGATATGTCCCCTAGTGAAATCAAGAGCAGATCCTCAAGACAAATCGAAGATTCAAAAATATATGATACCAACCTCAAGATCGCAATCTTTGGGGTCCGAGTTCTTTATCTCAATCCGGCAATTATCAACCCCCATACCTTCCGAAGCTGAAAGCAAATGCTCACCTGAAATGCTGCCATGTTTTCTCTATACTGGTAGAATTTCTTGTAGGGGTAAATTTGAAAAACTCTAACAAAAGCTTGGTGGCTGGGTGTCCAGAGAATGGCCTTGGGTGTAAATAGAATTCTTCTGTATCAGAAAATTAACTTTTGTTTTTTTTCCCCAAACGATAGGATTTTCCGGACCATTTTGCTATGCTTAATTTCCCGAGCCCTAATAGGACATGGAGAAAGGCTTTTATGTTATCTGTTGGGCCAAGTTAGGTAAATCGTTTTAGGGTGTTTTACTTTGTTAAAACCATAAAAACGTATTCTATAGAAAGAAGGTTAGACTGGGGTATGAGCTTGATATATATATATATATATGTGTGTGTGTGTGTGTGGTGAATTGGATATGAAACCTGAGATTCTTAACCCCAGAATTGCATCCACAAAGTGTCCGGTGAGTTTCGAAAGCCTTTGCGAATTTTGTTCTAAATCCTGGACTGATCTTTCTCCGCTCCAAGGAGACTTCTTTTGCAAGGTAGGGAAAACCATTCCTGTTTCTTTTGACAATAGTTGTACCATGTGATTAAATTTTCTCTAGCATATGATTAACTGCACTTATTTAAATGCGGACGTTTTGTAGATATGAGATCGATATTGGCACTGTCGATGATTCGACTTTGTAGTTCTCCGTATGTTATTGATATGTCGTCCTCAATAACTTTATTGAAGTTTACCTTTAACAGAGAATTCATGTCCTTTAGTGTTTAGTATTTGTGTTAAAACCCTAGAGGTATGACTATGTATATATGTATATATATATATATGTGTGTGTGTGTGTAATTGTTATGTGCCTCCTCATTCCGAGCAGTTATTGGAATCACCTTATTAGGAAAATTAGAGACCCATTTGATAACCATTTCAATTTTCAGTTTTACTTATTTATTTAGTTTTCAATTTTTAGTTTTTGTTCGTAAAAAACTGAAAACAGGAAACTTGCTTGGTAATTTGTTTTCACTTTAAGTTATATGTGGAACTTGCAAATGAAATTTTTCTTGGGGTCAAATTGCTAATTTGATGTCATAGAACGAAAGTGTATGTTACAAAGAGTCCGCATTTGTCGGTGAAGTTTTTGGAATTAGGATGAATTTTTAGTGAATTTTGGTTGAACTGAGTCTATGTCGGAGTATAAGTTGGGAGGTCCTAGATACTGAGTTTTGGGACTAGGTTTTGTTGTTGCATTTTTTGCAAGACATTTGTTATTTTATCAAGTTTATTCAGTACCTAACAATAGATAATGACAAAAAAACAGAACATTTCTTATGTGTCGATTTTTGCCACTCTGTTTGATATAACTTGATGCATACTTCTTATGTGTTTTCAATAGGAGAATAATGTTTCCATTCATGACAATGAAACGTTCACTTATTGAGTGGGATGAAGGATGGAACTCTATCCAGGAGAGGATGAACAAGCTGAACAGGGTTATAGAGGGATTATCTGAGACTCCATTCGATGCCGAAGATTTTATGATGCTTTACACAACTATCTACAACATGTGCACTCAAACACCTCCTCATGATTATTGTCAACAGTTATATGACAAATATAAGGAGACAATCGAGCAACATATTACTTCGAAAGGGTTGCCCTCTCTTGCAGAGAAGCATGAAGAGTTTATGCTGCAGGAGTTTGTCAAAAGTTGGGAAAGACATAAAGTTCGGGTTAGGCGGATGTCACACTGCTTTTTTTTTCTTGCTCGCCACTTCATCCCCAGTGGATCACTTACTAACCTAGAAGAAGTTGGACTTAACTGCTTCCGTGAGTTAAATCCTAGAGTGAGAGTTGCTGCATTCAGTCTTATTGATAGAGAACGAGAGGGAGAGCGAATTGACAGAGGGCTGTTGAAGAATGTGATGGGTATAATTGTTGAAATTGGAACAGAGAAAATGGATGCTTACAAGGAGGACATTGAAGCACACTTGCTAAAAAGTACCGGTGAATACTATTCGCCTAAAGCATCAAGTTGGATTGCGGAGGAAAGTTATATGGATTACATGGTGAAGGCCGAGTTATGCTTGAGAAGGGAGAGGAATATAGTTTCTCATTACTTGCATTCAAGCAGTGAGAAGAAGCTGGTGGAGAAAGTGGAACATGAGTTGTTTGAACCTCTTGCTAATGTATTTAAACAGAAAGTTAGTCTTGAAGTTAAAGCTTTGGTCCAACAGGCTAAAGATGATGCATCAAGTAACCAGGATTTCAATGGAGCTTATGGCATGCAGGAACATGTCCTTGTCAGAAATATACTCGAGCTTCACACTAAGTACCTGTCTTTTTTCAGTGATTGCTCGATAAAAAACTATATCTTTCACAGGGCTCTGAGAGACGCTTTTGATCTATTTTGGAATGGACCTGTTGCTGGTAGTTTAGGTGCTGAATTACTAGTTGCATTCTGTGATAATCTCCTTAAAAATGATGGGAATGAGAAGTTGAGCGATGAGGCCGCCGAAGACACACTTGAGAAGGTTGCTAAGCTGGTTTCTTATATGAGGTCCAAGGACGTTTTCATAGAATTCTACAAGAAAAGACTTATTCCTAGACTTCTGTTTGATCGGAGTTCCAACTTGGAACATGAAAAAAGTTTTGTAACAAATTTGAAACAGAAATTGGGTGGAACGTTCTTGACCTCTAGGATTGATAAAATGGTCGAAGATATGACATGGACTCAGTACAATAAGACCAGCTTCTCGGAATATCTTCACAGTAATCCGAATGTAAATCCTGGATTGGATTTTACCGTCACTGTTCTCACAACTGGTTTGTGGCCAAGTTATAAACCATTTAATCTTAACCTTCCTGCAGAGATGAAGAACTGCGTTGAAGCTTTTGAGGGATTCTACGAAACAAAAACAAAATGTAGAAAACTTAATTGGATTAACTCATTGGGAACTTGCTACATTAATAGCAACTTTGAGTCAAAAACCATTGAACTAGTTGTGTCAAGCTGTCAGGCTGCTCTCCTATTGCTTTTCAGTGATGCAGATAGATTGAGCTATTCCGAAATATTCACTCAGTTAAATCTTGACCATGATAACTTGGTTCAGACTCTTTATTCATTGTCATATGGAGAGTTCAACTCTAAGTTCACAGGCAGAATGAAAAGAATTAAGGTTCCTCACCTACCCTTGTATGAAACGAAGGAGGTGATCAAAGAAGTCGAGAAGGACAGGCGATATGCTATCGATGCTGCAATTACCCAGATTATGAAGAAGCAGAAAGTTTTGGATCTTCAACAATTGTTTGTGGAGTGTGTTGAAAAATTGCGACATATATTCAAGCCTGACATAAAAACACTCAAGCAGCGTATTGAAAATCTTATTGACCGAGACTACTTGGAGAGGGACAAGGAAAACCACAACATTTTTAAGTATCTTGTATGATTCAAGGGTTGGAGTCTTCATATTATCCAGGATGTGCTGGAGTTAACACAGGAAGACAAAGGAGTTGTTTCTTTGGATTTCAGATTTGCTGTAATTTTTTATTTAGCTCTTTTAGTAATTCTAGGATTTTGAAAAGAGAGTGGCATTTTTGTTCAGTTTTCTATTAGAGGCAGTTTAGTAAATTTTCAACTGAAATAAATTATATGGAATTATGAAAATGTTACCTTTCCATGAGCTACCTAACTGTTATGAAGCCTGCATATATTTGAAGCCTTCTTTATATATCTTCTTCTCTGCCTTTTGATTGGTTAATCCCAACTCCCAACTAACTCTCATCATTGGTTGGCCACTTGGTCCCCTAACTGAAAAATCAACCCCAATAAGCCATCGAATTGCTTCTGAGTGGGACAGAAAAAGCTTCATATCCTTTTGACTCATTCCCTCTTGGAGACTTGGTCTTGTTTGTCCTAGTTTTTTTTTTCTTTCTAATTTTTCTATATTACCTCTCTTTCTTTGACCAGCTATGTCTGCGTCCATCTTCTTCATCCTTTTCTTCACTTCAATCTTCCTTGACATAGAGGCCTCAAATGGAAACTGCACACATGGGACACCCGATATTCGATTTCCTTTTCAATTAAGAGGGCATCAGCGTCAACACTGTGGTCACACTGGTTATGAGCTTGACTGCAAGAACGGAACAACCATAATTCACTTCCCATCCTATGGTGATTTGGTAGTGAAATCCATCTCTTATGATATCAAAAAACTCGATCTTAATTACCCGAAGAATTGTGTCCATGAAGTTTATCTTAACCTCAATCTCTCCCTTACTCCATTTCAGTATTACCATGCTGTGAAAGAGTACTCATATCTCAATTGTTCAGTTAGGATTTCACCTCCTTTGATAGAAGTCCCCTGCTTAAGTGGCTCTGACTATCACGTTTACACTGTGGACCCTTCTTTAGCTGTCCCAGATTCTTGCAGTCTTGTAAAAACCATTCCTATTCCTTTTATGTATAGCCCTTATCTCAGTGACAATAGTTTCGGTCTCGGATTAACTTGGAGCTTACTTGGCCATGAAGATTGTGAGGCAAAACAAGGCCAGAGTTCATTGCATCCTAAAAGAGAACAACAAACCTAATGTTTCACTATGGCACATGCTAAAGGTAAATTACTCAATCCCACCTTGGTTTTTCTTTTCTTTCCATTTTTATCTATTTTTTCCCGATGTGTTTTCCTTATAAGAAGGATATCAAACTTTATCATCCACAACCACGAAACGCCAAGTTATCGAGTGGGATTTATCAGGAGGTAAATGCCAATGTGAGAGTTGCTATAATTGGTCTTATTAATAAGTAACGTGAGGGGGAGCAAATTGACAGAGCACTATTGAAGAATGTGATAGACATATTTGTTGAAATTGGAAAGGGACAAATGGAAGCTTATGAAGAGGACTTTGAAGCACATATGCTAATAGATACCAGCGAATACTATTCGCGCAAAGCATCAAGTGGGATTCTTGAAAATCCTTATACAGATTACATATCGAAGGCCGGTGAATGCCTGAGAAGGGAGAGGGATAGAGCCTGCATTCAAGCAGTGAGAAGAAGCTGGTGGAGAAAGTGTAGCATGAGTTGGTGGTGGTTTATGCAACTCAACTGCTTGAAGAGGAGCATTCTGACTCTGGATGTAGTGGTTTTCCTAGAGACATTAATGTGGAGGATCTTTTTATATAAGAAACCTGTTGCAAATGTATTTAAACAAGATTTTCCTGCTTGAAATGGATCACAAAAAATAAATTGTGAACAGAAGGCATGAGAAAGTTTTTGTGCTTATTGCCAGTTTTATAAATCAGTGTCAAAATTCAATAGCCACAATGCAGCATCCAAAAGGCTTACCATGTTCATAAGGAGCATGAGCAACATAGAATTTAAGAACTGGGTTCAACTGACTTGATTTTAGATTTTTCTGTTAAATTGTGTGCAGCTCTTTTAGAAATTCTAGGGGATTTTTAAATGAGTGGAGAATTTTTTGTTCATTGGACTGTTGAAAGCCATTTTGAGTCATATATTTGTAAGTATTTTCTTTTTAATATATAATAAGGAGCATATCCCATTATATTATATATTTTTCAAAAAAACGAATTTGTTATAATGATATTGAGTTAGGAGATAAATGCTTTAGCCCATTAGTTTGACTTTGTGATTTGTTGTATGAACTAAAAGATGAGAATATATTTTAATATTATATAGTGTATACAGTGGTGGATTCAGGATTCTCGGGGCAGGGTTCTCAATGTAAAAGTGTCAAAATTGTTTATGGAGTTGACAATATCTATAGCAGAAGTCTAGAAAGGTGAAGAGCAAACCAAGATATCGTAAATCGAACCAAGCCAACAAAATAAATAAATACTGTCTTTAAAAAATCTAGAAAAAAACATCATAAAATATGGACTAAAGTGTGAGAAATTTTGCATAGGGCTTGTAACTCAAGTGTTTAAGAGTATTTATCTCTGCATCTAATGTCCTAATATCTCTTGTGTAAAAAACAAGTGTATACATTTTTTATTTCTTTATTTTTAACAATGAGAGAGAAATAATTCAAACTAATCTCTTGGGACGTTAGGATGAGAAATTGGGAATGCAAAGTTTTTTTTATGATTAAAATATCTCTCACTTTTATTGTAGCTTTTGAATAAGATTTTATTGTAAAATTTTAACCATGGTAAAATATGCTACACCACAACAAGGTTAAAGTCCTCCCGGTTATCTTAATAAAAAAAAAAAAGTCCTCCCGGTTATGCGCTTGTGAAAAGCTACTCACCTTTTTACAGCAAAACCCTAGGCGTATGGCGATCTTCTTCTCACATCTTTCTCACAATTCCCCTGCTTAAGTGGCTCTGCCTTCCCCTGCTTCCGGCTTCTTCTGCAATGTAGTGAAAGCCGTTCCTACCCTTTTCATTATATACTCTCAAGGTTTCAGCAGGGCACAAGTTAAAGGTAAAATCCATCTTCCTTCTTCTTGTACGCCTTGTTTCTTTTCAGTTGTTTTTCCCTTCCAATTTTTTGATGAATTGAGATGAATACACGCGAGTGGGTTTTAACATATAAACAAATAGTAGAAATTTGCCAACTTGAATTGAACTGAATCAAGTTGCTTCGAGGTACACATGTGTTCATTAATCTTTCAAAATGTAGAAAGTTGGAAACAAGAGGAATATTAGCTCAAGTTGTTGAAGTCTGAGACATAAATATTCTTTTTCTTAAAAGTATCAATACATGATTCGAAAGAAAAAAAACTCATAAATTTCATATTGGGTTTGGCTGAGAGAATGGGTTTGAGTAAAATTTCTTACTGGGTTTGGCTGAGTGAATGAGTTTGAGTAAAATTGCAGCTGGGTTTGATTAAAGTTGCAGCTTGGGTTCATTACTTGGTTGATTGCTACAAAGAAGAAGTTGGGTGGAATTTAGTTTTTTTTAAAAAAAAATTCAGAAGAAGGAAAAAAGAGGAGTTATTGGGTTGGGTTTAAATTTTTGGGGCTGGGTGGAATTTAATGCTTTTTCAGGTTGGTTGATTGGAGACGTTGCTGGGTTTTGTTTAATTCTTTTGGCTGAGAGTTTGCTTGAATATATATATATATATATATATATTATTGTTTGGCTGAATTTCGTTTTCCTGGTTGTTTTGCCGGGTTTGAATGTTTAATTTTTTGATAACATTTTGGTTGAATACGAAGAAGAGAATATAGGTTTTTCTTAGAACCAAAGACTTTTATTAGTTTTTTTTTTTTTCCACACGGCATGAATGTCATTCTTTTCCATATCTAGAGGTTCTCTTTAGAGCTTACACTATGCGCATCATCAAGAAAATTACACAAAAACAGGAATGGAATGCAATTGAATCGAAGGTTGACTAGTTTAACATGTTAGCTAGTGTTGTGACTGTTATGGTCTAATGTGCATATACTTCAGTTGAATCCTTTAATGATCAGGATTTATGTTAAAGCCCTAGATGTATTTATTATTGATATGTAGTTATTGGGAGGTGCCTTCTCACGTGGAGCAGTTATTGTAGCCTCCTCAGTAGGCTTACTAGGGTTAAAATGCTCTAATCTATAGGGATGAAGTATGGTATGCCCTATGAAAATACTATTTACTGTTCTTATATGTCTATTTGATGGCCATAAATGTCATATTTATTTACCATTAAACCTATTTTCTCTTTGGTTTATTTTCTTTTTTCAAACAATAAAAACATTGTATCAAGGAGAAGAATCTGATAGAAATTTCAAATTGTAGAATTTTTTCACTGGTATATTGTAAAGGTATCTCACTTGATATTATCTGTATGTGTTTTTTTTGTAGTTGGAGGCTGTTAAATTTTGCATCCACAACAATGGGTTACCAATTTATCGAGTGGGATCAAGGATGGGACTATATACAGAAGGGGATCACGAAGCTAAAGAGGATTGTACAAGGATTACCAGAACCGCAGTTCAACTCAGAAGAATATATGAGGCTTTACACAACTATCTATAACATGTGTAGCCAAAAACATCCCCATAATTATTCTCGGCAGCTTTATGACAAATATCGGGAGACATTTGAGGAATACATTACTTCAACGGTGTTGCCCTCTGTAATAGAGAAACATGGTGAGTGTATGCTGCAGGAGTTTGTCAAATGTTGGGAAAATCATAAGATTATGATTAGGTGGCTGTCACGATTCTTTAGTTTTCTTGATGACTACTACATCGCTCAAAATCACGCATCACATCCTGGGCTGAATGAAGTTGGACTTAACTGCTTCCGTAATATGGTTTATCAGAAGGTAAATGCTAATTTGAGATTTGCTGTACTTGTTCTTATTGGTAAAGAACGTGAAGGAGAACAAATTGATAGAGCACTGTTGAAGAATGTGATAGATATATTTGTTGAAATTGGAATGGGACATATGGATGCTTATGAAGAGGACTTTGAAGCATACATGCTAATTGACACTCGTGATTACTATTCTCATAAAGCATCAAGATGGATTTGGGAGGACACTTATACGAATTACATGTTGAAGGCAGAGGAATGCTTGAGAAGGGAGAGGGATAGAGTTTCTCATTACCTGCATCCAAGCAGTGAGAAGAAGCTGGTAGAGAATGTGAAACATTGGTTGGTGGTGGTAAATGTAACTCAACTGATTGAAAAGAAGCATTCTGAATCTGGATGTAGTGCTTGGCTTACAGTTGATAATGTGGAGGAGCTTTCTAGGAAATTTATTTCTAATGTTATTTTGGAACAAGAAGTTCCTGCTCAAGGTTCAACCTTGGTTCAACAGGCTGAAGATGCCGCAATGCAGGAATGAAATCAATCACACTACTAACAATTGTGAACTTCTCTGGGATCTACAGTAAATGGTGCACTGGTTGTTTTAGAAATTCCATGAACAGATTACAACTTACAAGTTGTGATCAGTCAAAGAGGCTAGATAGAAGTATAACTCTATCAGGAAAAGAGGAAGAGATTTACAATGAATATACATGCGATAATTGCATCAGATAATCGTTTGGCTTGGATTGGGTTTGTCCTTCATATTGTTCTCTTTCTCTGATATTTTGTTTCTCTATGTTACTTTAATGAAGATAGATTGGGTCTGATCATCTTCATCTCTCTCCCAAAGAATGAAGATCAATTGCCATTGTCTGTTGGGCCAAGTTAAGTAAAATCCCTTTTTTTTGGGTCGAAGGAATGGAGATTCAACAAGCAAGTCTAATACAACAAACAGAACAATAAAACCAAAGCACAGCCATACAAAATAAAAGCCTAACCATAGAACACATAATTTAGGCCCAACACAACAAAAAACCTTAAGACACACTCAAACCCTAAAATCACACCCAAGAAAGCAACAGCCGCTGCCACCCGATCTGCCGTTGCTGGAGGAAGGTCCATGAGAACCGACAAAGGAGATTTGAAGAGCATGGATTCGGGGAAGCAAGCCACCACCGTGCATCAAGCTCAAGCGTTGCCAGTAGACCTTCCCACGCATTCCCTATTTATGGCTAATTTCTCAACTTCTTTAACAGAATTAATTCAGATACCATGAATCAATTAATTTGCGTTGTTTTATTACTTTTGTGTATAATTCTTGAGTATAAACATCACAAGAACAGTAAATACGTATACAAGTATTTAAAAATGGAGGAAGTACTTATAAAATGTACAACATCATGCATATACAAGTATCAATACAATTTCCAGAAGCTCAAAATAACACAAAATAAAAATAAATAAATAAATAAAAATCAGCGACTTACTAAAGTACGCCAAGGAAACCAGATAATCTCTATCCAAAACCTGTCACTACACATTTTTTACATCATTAAAAAAACAGCAAATCAAAGACAACTGTTTGTGCTCTTACAGTTTACACAGCAGCCAAACAGAGCACACAGAAATTTTGACTGAAAAAAACCCAACATTAGTGAGGGACGTTCTGTTTTCTGCTTTTCAGGTTTTTATTTCTAATTTTGTTTTACGGATAAAATTGGAATTTAGAATTGGGAAAAAATATTATTTGAAGAGATGACTGGTTTAACTAAAAGAAAAATCCTAATCCTCTGAACCAAAAATACAAAAAAAAAAAAAAAAAAATTCCTAACCCTAAATCCTATACACTTTGAGTGTGAGCCAAGTAAAGTAAAATCCTATATGGAGTTTCCCAAAACCCTACACCCGTTCTATATATATACAGTCTCATATATTGTTCTGAAAATCAATAAACGTGATCTTCATAAACCCAAAATTCTACAAAGTCTTTACTATATTGTGAAAACTGCTAATCTTTTTCTACCATGTAGTGATATTCTTCACAGATCTTTCACACCCGGACTTCCGAGACTTGTTCTGCAAGGTAGTGAAAACCATTCCGATCCGAGTTGGAGTATATTGAACTCTGTTCGCAACAATGGAACGCAGAATTATTGAGTGGGATCAAGGATGGAACTCTATCCAGGAGGGGATTACGAATCTAAAGAGGAGAATTGCAGAAGGGTTACCGGAGAATCAAGTCAATGCCCCAGTGTATGTTGATATTTACAACACTATCTATAACATGTGCATTCAAAAACCTCCCCATGATTATGCTCAGCAGTTATATGACAAATATCAGAAGACATTTGAGGAACACATTACTTCAACGGTGTTGCCCTCTTTGAAAGCGAAGCATGATGAATTTCTGTTGCAGGAGTTTGTTAAAAGTTGGGCAGATCACAAGGTTATGCTTCGGTGGATGTCCGAGCCTTTTCATATCTTGATCGCTACTTCCTCGCTCACCGATCACTTCTGGGGCTAAATGAAGTTGCACTTAAATGCTACCGTGATTTGGTTTACCGGGAGGTAAATGCTGACATGAGGGTAGCTGCACTTCGTCTTATTAATAAAGAACGCGAAGGAGGAGAAATTGATAGAGCACTACTGAAAAATGTGATAGAGATATTTGTTGAAATTGGAGCAGGACGAATGGATGCGTATGAAAAGGATTTTGAAGGATATATGCTAACCAATACTCGTGATTACTATTCTTGTAAAGCATCAAGATGGATTTTGGAGGACAATTATACGAGTTACATGATGAAGGCAGAGGAATGCTTGAGAAGGGAGAGGGATATAGTGTCTCATTACCTGCATCCAAGCAGTGAGAAGATGCTGGTGGGGGCAGTGAAACATTGGTTGTTGGTGGTATATGCAAATCAATTGATTGGAAAGAAGCATTCTGAATCTGGATGGGGTGGTGGTTGCCTTACAGTTGATAATATCGAGGAGCTTTCTAGGAAATTTATTGCTGCTGTAGTATTGGAACAGCAAGCTCCGGCTCAGTGTTCAACCTTGTACCAACAGGCTGAAGATGCTGCAATGCAGGAATGAAATCAATCACACTACAAACAAATTGTAAACAATAGACATGGTAAAATTTTGTGGTTTTTAATATTTTATCATTTAATTACTCTTGAAAAGCCTCTGCCAAGGTGATCAAATTGACAAGTACTTCCATTGTGAATTTGTACCAAGCAAAAGAAGTGCCCATTTTCTTGTACCCATTCAAATAATGTTTTGGGCACAAAACCCATTTAAAAACACCTACATCTGGTACCAAAAACGATGGCGGAATTAGGTATATATGGCCAGTCAGAAAAATATGCCCATTCAAGCATTCCATCGAACAGTATGCAGGCAACAAAATCCAAACTAAGCCAGACATAACATGCTGTACCCAGCTTAAATCTTCCTGAAAAACGGGCACATGATCGTATTTTCAGTTTCCTGACTAAATAAGTGATGTTGTCATTGCACGGGTACAAGTATTAAACATCGAAAAATAAAAACGAAAACTATACAGCTAGAACTGGAGCTCCTGAAACCTGCTCTGCAAATACATGGCCGGTACTAGAAAACACGAGGAATAAGGAGATGATAAAAAATAGTGTTATCTTTATAAGCCCAACCCAAGTTAATTAAAAGTAGCCCAGCCCAACTGTAAGATTTCATCTGTAAAGTCACCCCACGCACATGAAGCATACGGGTCGTGTTTGCGGGTTTTGTGTTATGTTCATGTCAACCCATTAAGAGAAGTGGGATGACTCGACTCGACCTGTTAAACTAACGGGTGAAAAATACCAAACTCAAACACAGCCCGTTATAATGCGCAAATGCCCTGATCCGACCCGTTAAGAATTTAAAAAAAATAATAATAAATAAAAAAGAATAAGAATAAGAAAATTGGAAGAAAAAAGAAAAAAAATCAACCACCACCAAAAACCGGGTTGAATGATTTCAATCTTCCTTTTGTTTATGCTTTTGCAAAATTAATATTATATTAACTTTTTTTGGGTAATACCATGAGATGTTCCACTCAAAGGATGGGATTAATATATCAACTTACCTACAACATTATATGTGTATAAATATCAAACGAATTCAATGATTACTAAATTAGCACGCGCTTTACTCCCAAACAGGGAGTAGGGGTTTGATTCCCCTTCCTAGCATGTGGCGTAGTGTGATTGTAAATTAATTTGTTAAAATATGGAAGGAGTGGCAATGTGTATAATTTTGGTATTTTTAGTCATCGATAGAGAAAATTATGTTATTATCTTCCACATTAACCAAAGCTCCCAGTTCTTTCATGGTTTTTATTTCTAATTTTGTTTTAAAGAAAAAAATTGGAATGTGGAATTGGTTGAAAAAAAAAAATATATATTAGAAGAGATAACTCGTTTAGAATAAATTTAAAAAAAAAAAAAAAATCCTAATCCTAATCCTATACGCATTGGTGTGAGCCAAGGGTAAAATCCTATATGGAGTGGGAGTAAAATCCGATCCGTTCTCATATAGGTAATGCAATTCTCACATTAGCATTCCATCCGATCCACCGACTCTATATATACATGGTCACCTTGGTTGTAAATTTGTATCATATATTGTTCTGCAATCCATCTCTTTGAAAATCAATAAACTTGAATCGTGATCTTCATAAACCCTCTAAATTCTATCAAGTACATGTTTACTATCTCCGGCTTCCGAGACTTGTTCTGCAAGGTAGTGAAAACCATTCCGATCAGAGTTGGAGGATATTGAAAGATCTCCGTTCGCAACAATGGAACTCACAACAATTGCTGAGTGGGATCAAAGATGGAACTCTATCCAGGAGGGGATTATGAATCTAAAGAGGAGAATTGCAGAAGGTATACCAGAGAATCAAGTCAGTGCCGCCGTGAATGTTGATATTTACACAACTATCTATAACATGTGCATTCAAAAAACTCCCCATGATTATGCTCAGCAGTTATATGACAAATATCAGAAGACATTTGAGGAACACATTACTTCAACCGTATTGCCCTTTTTGAAAGCGAAGCATGACGAGTTTCTGTTGCGGGATTTTGTTAAAAGTTGGGAAGATCATAAGGTTATGCTTCGGTGGATGTCCCGCGCCTTTGCATATCTTGATCGCTTCTTCATCCGTCAGAGAAGGCTTCCTTGCCTAAAGGAAGCTGCAATTATCTGCTACCGCAATTTGGTTTACCGGGAGGTAAATGCTAACGCGAGAGAAGCTACAATTCGTCTTATTGATGAGGAACGCGAGGGAGGAGAAATTGACAGAGCACTATTGAAGAATGTGATAGATATATTTGTTGAAATTGGAGTGGGACAAATGGATGTGTACAAAAATGACTTCGAAGGATACATGCTAAACGATGCTCGTGATTACTATTCTCATAGAGCATCAAGATGGATGTTGGAGGACAGTTATACGAGTTACATGTTGAAGGCAGAGGCATGCTTGAGAAGAGAGAGGGATATAGTTTCTCATTACCTGCATCCAAGAAGTGAGCAGAAACTGGTGGCAATAGTGGAACATGAGTTGTTGGTGTTTTATAAAACTCAACTGACTGAAAAGAAGCGTTCTGATTCTGGATCTAGTGCTTTCCCTGGAGATGATAATGTGGAGTATCTTTCTAGGAAGCTTGCAGCTAATGGAATTTTGTAACATAATATTTCTG